TGACAACGGAGCTAAAAAATGATATCGATGGAGAAATAGCAGCCTCTTCACAAAAACTGCTGGGAAAACTGGTTTAGCAGCCTGCAAAAAACTGAAACTAGATCCATGTATATCACCCCTATATAAGATTAACTCAAAAATGATCAAGGATCTTTTAATATCAGACCACAAACTCTTAAAGTTGATACAAAGAGTGGAAATACTCTGGAGTTAGTAGGTATAGGTAAAAACTTTCTCAATGAAACCCCAGCCGCACAGCAACTAAGAATAGCATAGATAACCATGGGACCTCAGATAAACACTAAAAAGCTTCCTGTTTCATCAAAAGAAATGGTCTCTAAACTGAATGAGAACACCACAGGTGGAGAAAATTATTTGCCAATTATACATCAGACCAAAGGGATGATACCAAAATAGTACAGGGCACTTAAAAAACTAAATTCTCCCAAACTAAGACCAATAAAGAAATGGGCAATGTGACTAAACAGAACTTTCTCAAAGAAGAAATTCAAATGGCCAGAAAACACAATGAAAAAATGCTCACCATCTTAGCAATAAGGAAATGCCAAATTAAACACACTAAGATTCCACCTCACCCCTGTTAGAATAGCCATCATCAGCAACACCACCAACAACAGGTGTTGGCGAGGATGCGGGGAAAAAGGAACCCTTTACACTGTTGGTGGGAATGTAGACTAGTACAACCCTCTGGAAAAAAATTTGGAGGCTACTTAAAAAGCTGGACATCGATTACCATTTGATCCAGCAATACCACTCTTGGGGATATACCCAAAAGACTGTTACTCCAGAGGCACCTGCACATCCATGTTTATTGCGGCACTATTCACAATAGCCAAGTTATGGAAACAGCCAAATGCCCCAGCACTGACGAATGGATTAGAAAAATGTGGTAATCTATACACAATGGAATTTTTGCAGCCATGAAGAGAACGAATGTTATCATTGCTGGTAAAATGGATGGAATTGGAGAACATCATTCTGAGTTGAGGTTAGCCTGGCTCAAAAGACCAAAAATCGTATGTTCTCCTCATATGTTGGACATTTAGATCAAGGGCAAAACACAACTAAGGGATTGGACTGTGAGCACATGATAAAAGCGAGAGCACACAAGGAGGGGTGAGGATAGGTAAGACACCTAAAAAACTAGCTAGCATTTGTTGCCCTTAAATGCAGAGAAACTAAAGCAGATACCTTAAAGCAACTGAGGCCAAAATAGGAAAAGGGGCCAGGAACTAGAGAAAAGGTTAGATCAAAAAGAATTAACTAGAGGTAACACCACGCACAGGAAATCAATGTGAGTCAATGCCCTGTATAGCTATCTTATCTCAACCAGCAAAACCGCCTTGTTCCTTCCTATTATTGCTTATACCTCTCTCTTACAAAAAATTAGAGATAAGGGCAAAAATAGTTCTGCTGGGTATTGAGGCGGGGGGAGCGGGAGGGGGCGGAGTGGGTGGTAAGGGTAGGGGGTGGGGCACGGGGGAGAAATGAACCAAGCCTTGTATGCACATATGAACTAATAAAAGCAAAATGAAAAAAAAAAAAAAAAAAAAAAAAAAAATAAAGTATGCATTAGTTTTCCTCTGCGTTTGAGGGCAAAAAATGCTATCTAGTAAAGTCCTTAGCTGATTTAAAGTTTGCCAGATTTCAGACTTGCTAGTCCCCACAACTGCATGAGCTATGTCCTTAAAACATCTTGCATCATTTTCTTAGGTTCACTAGATACATCATTCAGGTTTCTGCAGAAAAAATGGAAACATGGGGGTTCACTCCCAAATAGGACTATTATTTTTATTATGGAGAATTCTGACTGTTATGCTTGGGGGAAATTAAAAAATTATATAAGATACTTGGACTCCACTCTCATAATTCTGTGTCTGTTTGTATGTTTTCAGAGTATTTCCTTCTCTTTCTCTCTCTCTCTCTCTCTCTCTCTCTCTCTTTCTCTCTCTGGAACTGGGGTTAGAACTCAGGGCTTTAGGCTTGCTAGGCAGGACTCTATTGCTTGAGTCACACCCCAGGTGCACACTACCACACCCAGCTTTTTTTTTTCCTTTTATAATGGGATCTCACAATCTCTCCCCTCCAGGTTGGTCTAGAACCACAATCATCCTGATCTCAATCTACCAAGTAGTTGGGATGAACAGGCATGCACAACTGTACCCAGCTATTGGCTGAGGTGGGATCTTGTAAACTTTTTGCCCAGGTGGCCTCAAACTGCAATCCTCCTAATCTTAGCCTCCAAGGTATCTAGGATTATAGGCATGAACCATTGGCACCCAGCTTCCTTCTTATGTTTTAAACTTACCTTTTATATCCTCCAGCAGGATATTTTCACAGTAACATATTTAAACCATGAAATGTTAGTTTACTTAATAAAAAGCTAATTTTAATTCAAAGATTAGACAAAGATTAGAATTTAAAGTTAGGTTCTATATCCTTAGAACTTCTATTACTTATTTATTCCTAAAAAGTATGTATTTTGACTCCAGGAGAGAGTGACAATGTGATTTTGAAGAGTTCCTGTCTGCTTCCAGGAGTCTGGAGCTGTTGGATGCTTTTACCCCTAGGCTCAACCTGGTACAGGGTTCTTCTCTGCCTCTCAGGGCTGCCACCCACTGGGCCACTCTGAGCTTGAGTTATGACCGACCAGTTGTCATTTCAGCAGGAGCATGAGATTTCAAAACTACAAAGAGTTTATGGGTGAGTAGGGAAAAAATAAGTGCTCCCTGAAAAGAATAGAAAGAGAAGAATGAGAGACTGTCTATTAGGACTAGATGCCTTCTATATGAAGGTGAAATAGAAAACAGATAGGTTTTGGTTGTGGTTTTTAAAGCCTTATTTTTAATTACGTTTGCCAGATGAAGAAACATAAAAGGAAGTTATTTTTTGTTCATGTGGAATTATAAAAGAGGTTGTTCACTGAATTTCTTGTATCCTAGGATCTGTGAAGTTCTGAGAAAGAAGCGCCAGATGCAAAACTCCTAATGAGCCAGGCAATGTGCAGAGTGTGAAGGACAATGTAAAGGCAAGAGAAAGTAAAGGCTTCCTTTTGATTAGATTAATCAGCATCCTTCTGAGGGTGAAGTGGAGTCCTAAAGGAATAAAGAGACATATCTCCAAGGGATTTTTCTGCTTCCAACCACAGAATGCAGTGCAAAGTCTTCTTTTTTGTGCTGGGGATTGAACCCAAGGCCTTGAGCATGCTAGACAAGGGCCCTACTGCTTAAGGCATGCCCCTAGCCCTTTTGTATTTTTTGTTTTTGAGACAGGGTCTTGATAACTTTGTGCCCAGTCTGGCTTTGAACACATTACCCTTCTGCTTCCACCTTCAAAGAAGCTGGGATTACAGACATGCACACCACTCTGAAAGTCTTTCAGTATCAGCACTGAAAAGATCCCTGTATTTTCAGAAGCCAGGGAGGAAGGCTTTTTACAGCCGCTAGAAAGGCGTATCGTGGAGATGTTAATGAATATTCTTTTCATCCGTGATGCTCAGCATCCTCAAGGACTCAATTGGTTGAAAGGCTGGGATGGAGAAGAGGACACTGCTGGGGCCCTTCTGTTCTGGGACTGGTAGTCAGCTCTCATTGAAGGATCTGAAGAGGCCCTGTGGCAACCATGTAACACTCTAGGGTAATGAACAGCATCTATTGAATGAAGAAGGAATGGAACAGAGTTTCTTTTGAGGTCACCACAACTTTTGGTCAAAGTAACTTGTTTTCCTTCTCAAGGTATTAAGTAGTGGTTCAGCCTTTTATTACATCTCTATTGCCTAGCAGGGGATACACCATGATGGAAAAGAAATCTAGGAGAGAGGATGGGGCAATAGTGCTGGTAAACTGGTTAGGGAGGGAGGATGGGAAAAGGAGAGAGGAAGCCCTGCTCTGTAGTATCTGCTGATTTCCATGGTGTAAATACTTCCACCATGGCTGGTGGGAATGTGGACTTTGGAAGAAATGTATAGAATGGGCAGGACACCAACTGTAGCACATCTCTGGTAGGATTATCAGGCTCTATTGTCTCCAAATTTTAGTGGATTTATTATGGAGATAGAGAGTGTTGGAAGTAGAAAGCTCTATCTTTATGTCTAGCTGGATGACTTGACTTCTCTTAGCTCAGGTATAAAACTGGAACATTCATAATAGTTGTACAGTGCTGTTAAAAAGGTGAATTAAATATGCAAATTTATTTAAAGCTTCATATTAGCATGCCCCCATACACAATAGATTCCTATAAATGTAATTTATATTCTTTTTTCTTAATAATTGTTATTTTTTTTGAGCTGTATCACTTTTTAATCTCTCTCTGGTCTGTGGGATTCAAAAATACCACCCTCTGTTTTAATGGGTGTAAGTAAATCTTTGAATTGGTGTGAGGGGTGGGCATTCAATGGGGTTTCATCTCAATCTCTTTTTTGCCATTTCTTTCCTTTTATGTCTGTCTTTATTCCTACAAGTAATCACAAAGCTGCTGGGGCTTTTATAAGGTTACTCAGAGATGTTGAATTGATTTGTTCATGAGCATCCAGCAAGTACTTAGCAAAAGTCAGAAGTCAAATCCAGTGGTCCTTTTTTTTTAAAAATTAGTACATGATAGTTGTAGGGGGGTGCCTTATGACATTTACATATGTGCTTACAATAGATCTTAATTACATTCATCCCCTCCTTTTTCCCCTCATCTCCGCCCCCTTCTTAGAACAATTTCAACAGGTTTCATTGTTCTGTGGATACAAAGTACATATACCATATTCACCCTCGTGGTTCTTATTCCAATAAAGGTTTATTATGGCCTCTGCTGTTAAAGATGGATCCCCAGTCTTTCTCTGCTTGAAGATGATAACTAGCATTTACCATATACACTTAATAATAAGCTGGTTTTTCCTTCCAGAAAAAGTGAAGACGCAGCAAACAATGCCAACAAGGTTTGTGCTTCTTGTTACCTCCTTGAGTGTTCACAATGGACAGACTAATGCTCACCTTGCCTCTCTTACATAGGGCTGTGAGAGGCCAGCCATGACACTGAAGGTGAAAGTGTTGTGAAGGGTAGAAAGCCCTGAGAAAATGCCAAATATCATCCTCGTCACCTTCCTAGATGAGCCCACAGCAAGTGACTAGTTTGTGAGCTCTGAAGTTAGATCAATCTCAGTTGGAATCCCAGTTCTATTGCTTACTGACAGGCTGACCCTGGGTGAATTACTAACCCTATTCCAGACTCAATTTCTCTTCAGCAAGTTTGCTGTAGGGATGATGATGCTTCATTCCTTAAATGGTGGTTATGAGGTTTAAATATAACCATGGTAAATCTCTTGTTCTGGCTCTGAGAACTTTGGAAGTGCTCATTAGCTGTCAGTTACTGTCATTATTATTATTCTGCATTGTAGTTTGTACTGCATAGGGTACTGGTTTCTACTTATGAACAGGGTTTTTGAAAAAAGTGAACCCTAAGGGCACAAGGAAGACACTGGCAGGGCAATCCTGTATCCCTTCCTAACTTTGCACTGATGAAGCCTCATGATGGCATAGGAAGGATGGGGAATTGTGGTGACGGCTGTCTATCTTACAGTTATACTCTACCATACCAGACTTTGTGACCCTTTTCTCCACAGTAGCACCTGGGTACTACTGTTAGGCCTACTCATGGATGAGCAATTTCTCTTAGAGTTCTCACAGCCCTCCCCAGGGCTTCCAACTTGTTAGCTGAGCTGGAAGTTCGGCCCAGATCTGGCTGATTCCAGGCCCCATTCTGCCCCTTGCCCTGTGGTCAGGACAGTAGTTTTTGATGTGTGGAGCCCATACTACCAGCAGCAGCAGCAGCAGCAGTGACATCTGGGGAGCTGGCAGAGCCCAACAAGTACCTCTGGTAGGGCCCAAAGTTATCACAAGACTTCCAGGTATTCTGATGAATGCTGAGAACTACTGGAATGCCAAAACCTCCTGGGGTTTCTTCCAGCCTCTCTCCCTTCCATAGATGTTCCAGAGTCACCTTTCTGAGGTGAACTTTCTCCAGTGTGAATGATGAAATGGTATTGGAGTTCTCTTTTACCATTCTGTTTCTCCCTCTCTGAAGACCAGGGCATTACTGTAATTAATTCATTAGAACAAATTAACAGTGCTACTTACATTCTTAGCATGCACCTGGTACCAATAGTATTTTTAATTTTGCATCAGTATTTCCCCAAGATGTGCAGAGTAAATAGGCTTCAATAATTATTTTCTCCTCAAGTCCCTGACTTTGCTGTTAGAAAAAGAACCCAGGTTCTTGTCCAACTACCACATGAAGAACTCCTGCTCCCAAACTTGCTATCTACTCTCTCCTCATATCCAAGCACAATAAACACAGAAACTACTATCTGATGTTAAATGCATGATCTTCTTCTGTAAAAAATGAGTTCTTTTTGGGAATGGGGCTTGCCTGTCACCTCAAGCAGTTTGAAAGGTAGGGAGATATGAAATAAAATATGCTATGTAAGACTGAATTTTGTGTCTTACCATGGGGAAAATTGCCTCCAAAGTACTGCTCAGTAATATAGAATTTCTGAATAATTTATATTTAATTATCTTTGGAGAGATGAGGGTTAGGTTTTTAGCATTTTCTTCCAAATCTGTGCATCTGGGAGATGATGAGGTTTGAGGCGGGGGTGTTGTCTGTCTTATGCAGAAGGCATGTAATGGTGTTATTTCAACAAAAATTATAGTCATGCAAAATTTAAGCATCAAAGAAATGATCTGATATTTAAGATCACTGCTTGAGTTCACAGGAGGTACCCAAGCTATGGCTATAGTAAGATTTTGAGAGGATGGGATTCATTTCTCCTAGTACTTACGTCTTCATGAGTCTAAATTCTCCTGTGTATACATGAAGTATACACCAGATTTCTTAAGTGACCCACACTCCTACAGTCATTCTCATCAGCCACAGCACAATCAGGGTGTACCCACTGAGACTAGATCTTGTGGGTGTAGGGAGGAGAGGAAACAAGGCTGGAGTGAGACTTCTGGGCAGGAGGACCACTTTGGCTTTGGCATGGCTAGATGGGTAAATCCAGAAAGGGGATTTGGGATTTCAATGTGTTAATACATTTTCTGTTGCTATAATAGAATAGGCACCTTATAAGGGAAAGAGGTTTATTTAGCTCACAGGTTTGGAAGCTAAAAGCCCGAGATTGGGAAGCTCCAACTCTTCTGCATCTGGTGTGAGCCAGTGGCAGATGCCATCAAAATGGTGGGAGCATGTGCAGAACAGATCACATGGCAAACCAGGAAGACAGAGAGATTTGGGGGCCAGGCTTGCTTTTTTTTTTTTTTAATAACAGTTTGCTCCCAAGGGAACCAACCATGAGAACTATGTAAGTCCTTTTGCAGGGCAGCACACTCAGTGACCAGTGACCTAAGTACCTTCTTCTAGACTCCATCTCTGAAAGGCTCCACCACCTCAATACCATCACCACCATGGGGAACATATTCAAATCTTACCCAAACCATGGTACTCAATGTGTTTTCTCATCTAGAAGGAAACATTGATATCAGCTCCACTGATCTTATACAGAGGCAGTGGTTGGGAGGATCGTGTGCAGGCACAAAATGAAAAGTTTAAAAATTCACTAAACAAAAATGCATTAAAATGCACATTTCTCAACTTTTCCTGAACTCATTATTGGTGGCTTGAGTGAACCTCATCTTTGCTATTCAGGTTTTCTTTATCCCTTTCTCTATTGATAATGGCATTCTGCCTCTGCCACTAGTTAATATATAAAGGGATATAAGAAAAAACCACAGAGCCTCTGGCTTTGGAAACTTAAGAAGTGCAAGGGGAAATTGTTGGGTCAAACATGAGGCTCTGCTGGAGTGTGAGACAGGAAGAGGGTGGAAAATGTCTAAGAACATTCAGGGTATTATGAACTCAATTCCTTTTCATGTTGTTTGAGCAATAACTGGAAATATTCTTAAAATGTTCATGTTTGTCAGATTGTGCTTCTTTAATTGTGATACCATGTCTAAACAGGACCACCTGGGGCATTAGCATGTATTTGTGGCAATGTTTTTATTTTGCATGTTTTAATTTTACCCTTAGTGTAGAGGATTAAATACAGGGCCTTGTGTATCCTTGGCAAGTACTCTACCATTAAGCCACATTCCCAGCCTTAAGGCACTATTTTTTTAAGTGACATTTAAAATTACATACATAGACAAGAATTAATTATGGAAAGTAGTTGAAGATTAGAGAAACCAAAGGGATGGATAAAGAAGTCCTATTCTCTACCTCTCTGACTTATATGAGATGTGAGTAGATTTATATGTATATAAATATGTACATTTACATATATACATACATATATAAAGGACTTTGCCTTTATACAAATGAAATAACCTGCTTCCAAGAAAAAAAAATGCCTGCCTTCTTATTTCTTCTCATATTTAACTATACTTGGATGCAGAGGAATTTGTTAAAGTTGAGCAGTGATTTCCCAGTGCTAAGTGAATTGGTCAAATTCAACTTACAGTTGATCTTTCCTCTTCTTCTGGCCTTTGATTTATGGAACTTCTGTTTGATTCAGAACTCCTGTTCTGTTTCTGAGTTTCATTTGCTTTTTCCTATACTCTTTTAGTGGATAATGCCATCTTTGCTTTTGTCTTCAACTACTGACTCCATACAGAGGACTGCTCAGCCCTTAACTCCCTCCCTGACATTCATGTAGAAGTTGAGACCTGTGTGTCTATAGATCTGAAAATCTCCATCTGCTGAGTCACAAATTTGACCTATCTAAATGTCTACTATCTATCTTCCTCTCAAGTTTACTTTTCCCCAGTGAATGCATGACTCTCCATTCACTAAAATCAGAAACTCTGAAATCATCTATTGGCTTGTTGGTTTTTTTTCAGCCCCCACTTTTAACTTACTGTGAATTCCTATCAATTTAATCCTCAGCATCTCTCAACTTAGCCCTGCCTTTCCACCTTTACAACTCCCCCCATGGAGACTTTAAATTTATACATTTTTAATAATCAGAATTTTTTGTGGTACTTGCTTGCTAAGCAAGTGCTCTATCAGTTGAGTCATGTCCTCAACCTTTTTTTGGCTTTAGTTAGTTTTCAGATAGGGTTTGACCCACCTTCATTGGACCAACCTTGCACCACAATTCTCCTACTTCTACCTCCTATATATTAGTCCTTTGTCATATGACTACATGTCTTGGAGAGAGATAGTTATGAAAAGTGGTCAGAGAGAGAGAGAGAGAGAGAGAGAGAGAGAGGGTCTGACATGGAACTGTTGAGCAACTGGGACATAAGCAGTGAAGAGCCTGGTGTTCAGTGGCCTTACCCTTCCTGGTGAGAGCAATTCCCAGTACCTGAGGGTTGCTGTGGAAACCGAGCTTTGAGCCCACAGCTTGTGAGAAACCAGGATCCATGAGTTGCCTTCTGGATGCAGGGGTTTACTGCCAGATTTGGTTTGAGACTAAGCTGTTCTAGGGACTTAACAACAATGAACAGGCCACAGAGTCTAGGAGGGAGACAGCTAAGAAAGGTGGCTATGATGAGGGGGAGGGTATAACATGAACCCACAGAGAAGTTTAAGCAGTCGGGAGCTTGGACAGTGAGGGACATGGTGGCTGGTGGTCCTGCCTGTCATGACTAGAGCAAGCCACATTGTCTGAGGATCACAGCAGAAACAAAGCAACAAGCCTGAGGCTGTCAGAGCGCTTGCCATTCAGGAGCTGCCTGCTGGCTGTAGGTGCTTGCTATCACGTGGGGTTGAGAGATCTGAGCACAGGCCCTAGGGGTCCTGTGATATCCCCTAGCCTCTTCCTTCCCACAGGGTGAAAAACTGCTGGAGAGGTCTGAAAGAACTGAGACCTGCAGACAGAGCCTCCTGAATCCCTTATTTCTCCACTACCAGAGCATAAATTAGTGTTCTGTTTGTTCCTCCCACTATCAGATGCATTTCGGGAAACCCCTCATTTCACATGGGCTGCCCAAGGGGGTACAACCTGGAGGCCTATGTAACAAGTGGGAATCTGCCTGGCCCATATACTACAAAGCTATTTGTGGACAGTAGCAGCTGCCAATACATAAAGAA